AAGCGGTTTGTAAGATAAATAACACAGACTTACCTATATGTGGACATCACCACCAGTGACAGAAGTCGGTTTGTAAGATAAATAACACAGACCTACCTATATGTGGACATCACCAGCAGTGAAAAAAGTCGGTTTGTAAGATAAATAACATAGACCTACCTATATGTGGACCTCACCACCAGTGAAACAAATCGGTTACTAAGATAAATAGCACAGACCTACCTATATGTGGATAAATAACACTCACTTACCTACTGGTATTTTACTCTGTTTCCCGAATACCTTCAAGTTTATAAACAACAAAATGGTGAAAATATAGATCAACTTTGGCGACATTTTTACAGCTTGTGGAGAATATCGTGCGAAAGTACAGTACTGGGGTCGACTCTCCTGTATTCTCTCCTCTCTGTTAAAACCACACAGTTCAAATGTTAATCTTATACAGCGACGAATAACCTTTCCCACCCCATCTGTCACTACTTACGCATGCGCTTTGAAAATGAAGGACTCCGGATATCAGTTTTTCCAAGGCTTAGTTGACCTTGCGCCGTTATATGAAACTGTGGGCTGATTATTTAGCACACAGAGCTAACACGTGCGTCTCATTTCCCCTTTTTGGTCGTCACTGTGTTCCGTGTGATCTGAAATAATTGAGGATAAAATCATCTTCAGACACTTCGTCTTGTTGAAATGAGGTCTTAAAAAGTTAATTTGTATAGATCTACTTTCAGTATTTATCACTAGGGGCGCCATTGAACTAAGAAGTTTTCTCTGGCACGCAAATAGATGGCGACTCTTGCCGACTTGATATTAGTATCGTTCTGCAGTTTATTTGTTTGTTTTTAATTATGCACAAAGCTACACAAGGGCTATCTGTGCTCTGCCCACCACTGGTATCGAAACCCGGTTTCTAGCGTTGTAAGTCCGCAGACATACCGCTGTGCCACTGGGGGGCTCGTTCTGCAGATGCCACATTTCAAAATAATAACTTGACATTTGCACAGTAAGTGGAAGAGGGATGGGGGTTGGGTGGTGTGTGAGAAGTCGTACTGTACAGGGGATAGTAAAAGTTGGTTGTAAACTAACCAGTAATCTGCTCAGGATGTATATATCTAAGTCCGTTCCTAAAATATATCTGTTTGTTTGTTTTTGAATTTCGCGCAAAGCTACACGAAGGCTATCTGCGCTAGCCGTCCCCAATTTAGCAGTGTAAGACTAGAGGGAAGGCAACTAGTCACCCACCACCAACTCTTGGGCTACTCTTTTATCAACGAATAGTGGGACTGGCCGTCACATTATAACGCCCCCACGGCTGAAAGGGCGAGCATGTTTGGTGGAAATATATATCTATAAATCGTTCCTAATTTCTCACGGCCAGTGACAACAATTCGAGAAATCAAAGTACTCTTGTTAAAACGTTTGAATGAAATGAACAATGAATTGGCATAATTATCGTTAATGATCTAGAATGTATAACGTGTAAATTCATCAAACTATAACTCACTAATTTCTGATATTTGTTTAATTTATGAAGTTTGGTTCGTTAATTAAATAACTGATGATATACCTAAAATTTCAAGTTTCTATATTATTTGCTATATAATAAATGACACTAAATTCTGTTAGAAAGTACAGCTGAACAGCGTCATCTAGTCTATTAAAGAACAGGGTTTAGTAGCAGAAGTAAAGAAAGGGAAACCGATACAACTGAGTGCAATGAAATTGTTATCGTTAGTTTTTGCTACTTGCATTTTCAGTGACAGTTTGAATTATTATATTTTGAAATATTTCATTTTTATATATTTTTGAAATAATTCTATTCATAATAGTTAATTTCGTGATTATGATTTAATTTAATTATCCAAAAATTTATGTAAGTAGTGATTATTTCTACTTTCAATGAGCTTATACTTCAAACCTTGTTTGCGTTTGGAAGATTATGCCAACTACTTGCGGTGAGACTGTTAGAGCCATTGGCCATTAGTTCAGTACATTTACAGCTGCTGACTTCACTATAGCACAATGCTAGTTAAGTATATCTACAGCTGCTGACTTTCCTATAATACAGTGTTAGTTCAGTACATCTACAGCTGCTGACTTCCCTATAATACAATGTTAGTTCAGTTCATCTACAGCTGCTGATTTCCCTATAATACAATCCTAGTTAAGTACATCTACAGCTGCTGACTTTCCTATAATACAATGTTAGTTCAGTACATCTACATCTGCTGACTTCCCTATAATACAATGTTAGTTCAGTTCATCTACAGCTGCTGATTTCCCTATAATACAATCCTAGTTAAGTACATCTACAGCTGCTGACTTTCCTATAATACAATGCTAGTTCAGTACATCTACAGCTGCTGATATTCCTATAATACAGTGTTAGTTCAGTACATCTACAGCTGCTGACTTTCCTATAATACAGTGTTAGTTCAGTACATCTACAGCTGCTGACTTTCCTATAATACAGTGTTAGTTCAGTACATCTACAGCTGCTGATTTCCCCGTAATACAATCCTAGTTAAGTACATCTACAGCTGCTGACTTCCCTGTAATACAATGTTAGTTCAGTACATCTACAGCTGCTGACTGAGACATTTAAGACATTTTTCTGCTCTACATTTGTCTAGTTTTCACTTTTTTCACGAGCGCGAAACGGCAGTGGTGACCAGGGTTGCCACGTTGCCCTTTTTATGGCCGAATTCCAGAAATTTGGCATTTTTCTACTGTGTTTGGCCATGAAGATTTAAGTTTGGCCTTTTTAAATATTTTGGTCAAAATTTTTTGAGTAAATTTTGGTCAGTTTTCCGTACAATTTTATTTTGTTCCTATATACCTCTACGAGACGAGGCGAGACGCTGTTTGTACACATACAACGTCGTACAAGACTACAAGCGTTGCATTATAAAGTAGTAGTAGAACGTTTCACATGTTGTGTCGTGTGTTTCAGTGCGGATATTGAATAAATTATATGAGTTCTATTTCTTAAATCTGATTACCCTTTATTTACTATGTCTCCTAAATGGAAACCGTATTATGATATTGTCAGGAAATACAATAAAGAGTAGGAAAAAAAGTTCCCATGGTTACGAAAAGAAAGTGACAAAAATGTACAATTTGTCAGTGCACTGTTACGTCTAAATTGTACAATTTTGCCCAACATGTAGCTTCTTCTAAACATAAAATATGATATTTTTGAAGTTAAATTTTTGTTTTATAGTAGTGTTTTGTATGGAGTTGATCTTTTTTAGCCATTAATTTGGCCATAAATCTCCCCAACCATCTGACAACCCTGGTGGTGACATCAATATACAAAAATAGATGTAACTACATGCAGTGGTGCTAAGACACTTGGTATACAACAACAGATGAAAGTTATATCCCCTACATCTGTTGATATTTTAAGATGTTATGATTGAGTTATCTTGATGTTTAATGAATAATTATTGTTGCTGATAAAATATTATATATGCAGAGACTATTTATATGCAAGCTTGCTTAAATAGCAGCTGCTTTCCATCAAACCCACCGCTGGACATACTTTTCGGAACTTATATTTTATTTGTTATAAGAGCAGTGTCTAAATACAGTGGGATACAAACTAGTCATATCATGAAAAACAATTTTTTTAGAAATAGTTACAACATAGATAAAGTACTAAAAAGTTAAGAAACTCGGTAATTTACGCAAACTGATCCCCACCTTACATAATAGAGTAGTAGTTGTATCATTGTAGTTGACGGTTTTGTTAATGGAAGCATTCTATGTAAGTATATAATATTCGTGAATACCCCTATTATTCATGTGACATTTTACTACTGTAAAATTCGACGTTGTAATTCTTACATGTTAAAATTTTGTATTTCAATACAAACATTGTTTTCTATCACTACTATTAACTCAGTTGCATCTTGACGTAAAATGGAATAATGTGAGCGAAGCCACGACATTAATGACGCAATAAATAATCAATGTAGTGAAAGAACACACACACATCTGTATATAGCTAGCAGGGGTGTGTTTGAAAATGACAGAAAAATCTACTTGTCCTTCTTAAAACTACTCGTCCCTTCACAGTCTCACAAAACACCAACACAAATCGAATATAACTTTAGGATTTTGTTTTTTAATAATACTTTTTCTTTCTTTTTTAGGTGTATACGCTGTCATCATACGTTTCTGTTGTCGTGAAAGTTGTTTTCTTTACCACAAAGTTTCCCTGTGGGACAGAGGTCAATCTACGGACTTTTGAAGCTAAAATCCGGGGTTTGATTCCCCATGGTTGACACAGCAGATAGCCCTGTGAGGCTTTGCTGTAAAACAAACAAAACAGACTTGGTCATATCTTACGTATTAGAATAGTTTTTTAGATTATTTACATTTAGCAGAATGCTGTATGTTCCATCTTAATTTCCATCAGTTTTTCTTTCTTATTTCTTCCATGCAACTTCACGTGCTGGAATACAGTTAGACACAACGTTATCAATGCTAGCATAATTCCTCACACGTATTGTATAGACAGTACACGTAACTTAATGTCACCTGTCAAGTCCTTTAGTCAGGGAATTTATTTCAAAAACTTGTGTGATAAAGTGTTTTAATTAAAGATTCGTATTTACACCATATTCACGGGTCGAGTTAACGCAGAATTCTGCGAAATATACAAGGGAAATTTTAATAAAACACAAAAAGTAAGAGCACTACTTATAATTTCATCGCTACCCGATTAGTTGGATTTAGTGTTATTAGAGTAGTCCAAGAGCTGACGATGGGTAATGTTGACTAGATGCCTTCCTTCAACAGCTTTGCAACAAACAATAGGTATCGTGGAACGTCTTAAAATGTGTTATAACATTTCAGCAACATATAGTTCAACGTACACAACTTTGGGATGTGCGTCATTACATAGGGACCAATAAACAACCTTAAAAACAACATAGTTTAATATGAAATGTATTTTCTTTATGTTTTTAGGCTCAAGTAGGAAGTATTAGTTAGAATGATTACTTTGCCTTTTGTTTTATTGGTTGATGCTTTAATATCCGGCGTTTCTCATTAAGCGTAATAAAAATGGCAGCAATAGAATAACGCTTTAGCAGCAGCATTAGATCCTTTTTAGACTAATTCTAAGTACATGTGTACAAAAAAGAAATTTCTTAGGTTACTTATCAAGGAAGCAACATCATCAGAATTTCGTAATTAGATCGTTTTTAGGCTAATTCTAAGTAGTCATGTGTACAGGAAGAAACTGTGTTTCTTAAGTTAGTTATCAAGGGAGCAACATCATCAGAATTTCGTAATTAGATCCTTTTTAGGCTACTTTTAAGTAGTCATGTGTACAGGAAGAAACTGTGTTTCTCAGGTTAGTTATAAAGGGAGCAACATCATCAGAATTTCGTAATTAGATCCTTTTTAGGCTAATTCTAAGTAGTCATGTGTACAGAAAGAAACTGTGTTTCTCAGGTTAGTTATCAAGGGAGCAACATCATCAGAATTTCGTAATTAAATCCTTTTTACGCTAATTTTAAGTAGTTATGTGTACAGAAAGAAACTGTGTTTCTTAGGTTAGTTATCAAGGGAGCAACATCATCAGAATTTCGTAATTAGATCCTTTTTGGCCTAATTCTAAGTAGTCGTGTACAGAAAGAAAATGTGTTTCTCAGGTTAGTTATCAAGGGAGCAACATCATCAGAATTTCGTAATTAGATCCTTTTTAGGCTAATTTTAAGTAGTCACGTGCACAGAAAGAAACTGTATTTCTTAAGTTAGTTATCAAGGTAGCAGCATCATCAGAATTTCGTAATTAGATCCTTTTTGGCCTAATTCTAAGTAGTCGTGTACAGAAAGAAACTGTGTTTCTCAGGTTAGTTATCAAGGGAGCAACATCATCAGAATTTCGTAATTAGTTTTTATTTTATTAAAAGCCACCATATTCTATCCTTCGTGAAGTTTAATAAAATTTCATTTAATTACTTGCATGTTTATTGAATATTTAAAGTTTCCTTATATTTTCTTTTTGATTCTGAAAAAGTATAGCCCTCGAGCTTCTGGATCTTTTGAATTTTTCTGGTGTTCCTTTCTGCTTATTAAATTATACGTAACATACCGGTCTAACTAGATTATATACTGTGGTAAAATAAAAACTTACACTGATTTATAACCACTTCTAGTCGGTTCATTATGTAGCATTGGCTTCATTAATTTGTAAGCTACTTTTATACTTCTGATGTATATATTTAACGTACATAAGTTATTAGTAAGTTTAAAATTACAATTTTAATTATTGTTCCCTGGTAGGTCAGCGATAAGCTTACTGACATGCAAGTTAAAATCCAAGATACGATCCCAGACAGAGTGCATATAGCCGCCCATTGTGTAGTTGTAAAACTAAGAAAATAACATGAAATTATGACAGTAATAAGTTACACCTATTTTTGAGAGATGTGCAACCGTTTGGCTGTAAACAAATTTAACACATAGACAGTTCATAATTTCTACTGTATTTCCTATCCGAATCTGTTTGGGATTTTTTTTTATTTCTAAACGCAGAAACACTATAATGTGTTACAAACCTACCAACTGAAAGACTGGCGTAGTTAACTTGCAGGCCCTGGCCAGAAAATGACAGATGAAGTGTTATTTTTCTCTAAATCAAATGCTTATTTCAGCAAGTAGGTTTGTTAATCATGCTTATGTCAGAAAGTAGGTTTGTTAATCATACTTATGTCACAAAGTAGATTTGTTAATCATACTTATGTCACAAAGTAGGTTTGTTAGTCATGCTTATGTTAGCAAGTAGGTTTGTTAATCATGCTTATGTCAGAAAGTAGGTTTGTTAATCATACTTATGTCACAAAGTAGGTTTGTTAATCATACTTATGTTAGCAAGTAGGTTTTTAGTCATGCTTATGTCAGAAAGTAGGTTTGTTAATCATACTTATGTCACAAAGTAGGTTTGTTAATCATACTTATGTCACAAAGTAGGTTTATTAATCATACTTATGTCACAAAGTAGGTTTGTTAATCATGCTTATGTCAGAAAGTAGGTTTGTTAAATCATGCTTATGTTAGCAAGTAGGTTTGTTAATCATACTTATGTCACAAAGTAGGTTTGTTAGTCATGCTAATGTTAGCAAGTAGGTTTTTTAGTCATGCTTATGTTAGCAAGTAGGTTTGTTAACCATACTTGTCACAAAGTAGGTTTGTTAGTCATGCTTATGTTAGCAAGTAGGTTTTTTAGTCATGCTTATGTTAGCAAGTAGGCTTGTTAGTCATGCTTATGTTAGCAAGTAGGTTTGATAATCATGCTTATGTTAGCAAGTAGGTTTGTTAATCATGCTTATGTTAGCAAGTAGGTTTTTAGTCATGCTTATGTTAGCAAGTAGGTTTGATAATCATGCTTATGTTAGCAAGTAGGTTTGATAAATTATGCTTATGTTAGCAGGTTTGTTAAATTTGGAGGTGTGAGAAACACCATACGAAACTACTACCCACAGCTCCAGATCCTCACATTGGCTGTAAACTAAGATCATTAAAAAGAGTGGGAATATTCAACGGCACCTTTTATGTTCACATGGGCTGACTGGCCAGGTCAGAGACCCTTAGGGCTTAGATATAGCCAAATCTAATTTTGAAATACTGACCACAAATAGTGGGATTGACTGTCATTTTTATAATACACCCACAGCTATATTTCAAAGTTTGGACCCTAGGCCACTCTTGACTCAATATCTTTTCAAATTTCAATTAACTTCTATGGTGTTAAAGAATACTAGATACTGTACACATATGGAACACATACAATTTATAAAGAAAAACTATTAAAAACACATTTAACCAAAATTAAGGTGGCATCTTCTGGTATATTACACACACTACGTGTTTAAATACACAATCCTGGTGACATTATGTGCGAAACACTAATTATTCAACCTCCCTGTATAATTTTAATAACAACTAAATTTCACTGGTGGTATCATTAAAGTATTGACACTCGTGATGAGGCTCTCTTCTAGAAGTAACCTTTCACACTACAATCTGTACTACAACAGCACTTGATACCGGTTTAATATTCTCAGGGGTAGTCAACATTGTTGATTAGAAGACATAATGAATACTTTTTATAATAAGAGGAAACATTGTTACTTATATCTTTACCTTATGCTACCCAAACTTACTTTCAAGAAAATACCACTAAAAATGCAATGTTCTTGGATACATTGAAGACAAAACATGAGGTATGTAATGGAAAGCTTTATTCAAGGAATGACAGCTATTAGAAAAACAATATCTTATAGCAATGAATTTTAACGGCACTTTACAGACAGAAAATTCCACAGAACATTTCAAATCAAATGGCTACAGATTTTAACTAAAATACATCACTTGTAAATCCTTTATATACACACGTATAAAAATCTCAAAGCCGTGGCTTCTGTTGATAATAGAAAAGAATATACAAGTGGAAATTCAAGAAAATATGTAGTGAAGCTCAGCTGTCATCTTTAGAACATTGTTTATTAGAAAAATAAAAACATTATATTTATAACTTAAATAAAGATATATCAGTTTAGTTAGCAATGGCCACAAAAATACATCCATAATGATGTTGAAACTCAGAAAGCTGTGATAATTTCATCATTCATAAACTGTAATTTAATAAAACAAAGGGTACTATTTTTGCTTTGGACAATCACACTGTACCTGTAATTAAATTAATTCATTGTAATTTTAATCAAAGGAACCATCAGTTTTGTTAATAATCATAATAATGCATTACTAATTAATTCTAATTATATTAATGGAAAAAATATTTTGTTAAGCACCATCAGGCTGAAGCAAAAGTTAATTTATTGTAAATTTTGTGACAATGACAATGTTTATCCATGACTATCACACTGTACTATTAACTGATCATGATCTGTATAACAGTAACAATGCTTATGTTCACGACTATCACACTGTACTTTTAACTGATCATAATCTGTATAACAGTAACAATGTTTATGTTCATGACTATCACACTAATTTTAACTGATCATGATCTGTATAACAGTAACAATGCTTATGTTCATGACTATCACACTAATTTTAACTGATCATGATCATTGTTACTGTTATACAGTTTATGTTCATGACCATCATAATGTACTTTTAAGTGATCATGATCTGTATAACAGTAACAGTGTTTATGTTCACGACCATCACCCTGTACTTTTAACTAATCATGATTTGTATAACAGTAACAGTGTTTATGTTCATGACCATCACCCTGTACTTTTAACTGATCATGATTTGTATAACAGTAACAGTGTTTATGTTCATGACCATCACACTGTACTTTTAACTAATCATGATTTGTATAACAGTAACAGTGTTTATGTTCATGACCATCACACTGTACTTTTAACTGATCATGATTTGTATAACAGTAACTGTTTATGTTCATGACCATCATACTGTACTTTTAACTGATCATGATTTGTATAACAGTAACAGTGTTTATGTTCATGACCATCACACTGTACTTGTGATTTCTGTGATAGCAATAATGATTGTATTCGTGACCATTAGAATGTACTATTAATCAGTTCATTGTAAACTGCAACCACTGATGTGTTAAGGGATAAAGACAGTATCAATTGTTAAGAGTGAACAACAAACACAGCTTTGACTTATTGTAAGTAACTACAGACCAGCTCATTATTGTTCACTGCATCACTTAAACAATGGTTTGTATATACATTTTTCAATCATTGTTTACTCTAGGTCACAACCAACACTGATCTTGTTTATTTTCAAAACTACAACTGCCATTGAAAGCAAGAACAGCAATACCTTTATTATGTTAACTCAACAACTTTGTCTCAGCCAACTGACACAATACCTTTTTCTTAGTACTGCATAACTGGTGGCAAACTTGACAGTCATAACTTGCTCTCGTTGCAATTTTAAAGACAGCAGTAATTAAAATTAGCGAAGGATCATAAGACTGTACCAATGATTAATACCTAGTACTTTTAGTGACAGTGTTTCAGGGCCAAAGATTCCATTATTTTTAAATTTATTAAAAGCAACAACAACTATTTTGTTTTTAAGTTTTAACAGGTACAATATATAATTCATTGTACTTTTAGTGACTGAAACACCTCTTTTTTTATGAATCATCACATTCTTATAAAATTAATCTATTGTTACTTTATCATGATCAAACAATCAGTCTTTTTTTAAGCACCATAACAATTTACTTGAAGTTATTTTTGATAAAAGCAACAATCACATTTTCAATTTAAAAGTAAAATAATTTGCATCAAAAGGAGTAACAAAGGGTAAAAATATTTCATATGCATATTAAACTGACACACTTCTTCCACAACCAGCTCATGTTCTTGTGTAAACCAAACAGTGATCTACTAAATGTTTTACACCACACATACTAAACCCACACGTTTCTCCTTCCATGACCAGCTCATGTCCTTGTGTAAACCAAACAGTGATCTACTAAAGAAACGTGTGGGTTTAGTATGTGTGGTGTAAAACATCACTGTTTGGTTTACACAAGGACGTGAGCTAGTCGTGGAAGGACCTATATGTAATTCTTTCCATGGCAAACTGCTTTTTTTTTGTACAAATTTGATTACCTTAAAGAATGACCAACTGATGAACTCCAGGTCACTAAATAAAAAAAGTTATATTAACTTGTATCCACTATGGAGAAACTGGAGAAGGCTGTACACTGTCTTCATGTTCAGATTCACTAGACGACAATGATGATGGCTCCACCACCTCTCCGTAGTAGTTGATCACCTTTAAATATGGCATCACCTTCACCAATTCTGTCAGTATGGCATCAATGATCTGAAATTAATATGAAGATTAGTTAAAGAAGAAATCTTTTCAAAAGCTGTTTTAATTTGACATGAATATTTAGAATAGAATCTTGTTCAAGACAACTTGTTTGCAAAGTTCAACATTTTAAAAAATTACTATATTATTCTGGAATATATATCAAGATTAAAGAACAATATTTTTAAATTCTAATTTTATTATTCTAAAATTAATATATAAATATATTTATAAAGAAAATTATTCTTTAAAATGCTTTCTATTAGGCCAAAATAAATACAAAGGTTGCACTGGTTAAGAAGAAAATTTTGAAAACTTTTTTTTTTATTAACACTAAATTTTTAATGGTTTCATAACAACACCAAGCATTTTGACTCAGATAATGTGAAAAACTTCAAAAAATTAAAAGAAATTAGTTATAATTTGATTATACATATATTTTACTACAATAAATGCTTTGTAATTTGATAATATTGCACCATTTTAACATGTGCAATAATGTTGATTTTGTAACTCAATAGAGTGCAATTTTCTTTTAGTTCTATTTATTTGTGTTTTTTACTAGAAATAGTTCAAAGTTGAAAGAAAATGATTACAATCATGTTTTGGAAGTAAAAATTATCATTGTTCCAGCAGTGATTTTTACAGCAACTAGGCATAGTAATCTAAGAATACATTATCAAAACCAACACGCAGCTGCTTGTGTCATAATGTGGTGTTCAGCAGTAGTATGTCTCTCCAACCCACCACACTCCCCCTCTCTCTCTCTATGTATATGTGTGTGTGTGTGTATGTGTGTGTGTGTGTATGT